TAATTTGTACGACAAACGATTTCGCCGGACTTAATACGCCGAAAGCTCGTGGTAAGAAAATGATTTGTTATTTGTGTAATGTTAACGTTGGTGATTTGCAAGCTTTGGTGGTCCACTTTAAAATAATTCACTTATTGAAATCGGACAGTGCTTATACATGCTTGGAAAATGCTTGCTCTCAGTCGTTTAACTGCTTATCTTCATTTAAAAGGCATGTTAATATAAAACACATAATTAGTGATCACATTTTTCAAAATATACCCTCTACTAGTAATGTTGATGTAGAAGTATCAAAAAAAATTAAACTGAGTTATGACCCAAGTTTAGATTTAGAAGAGCCTTTTCATGATAAACTCACAGATAATTTCAATTTTGAAAACTCAACTAAACTGTTATATGAATCAACTGTAAAATTTATTTTAAGTCTTTACAACAACAATAATTTTAATATTAGTGATGTCCAATACATTCAATCTGGTGAAAAAGAAAACATTTTAAAGCCAATGGCTTATTTACTTAAAAATGTAGTGAATTAAGATATTAAAGAACCCATATTATTATCAACATTTAACCGATTAGAAACTGTAATTTTAAATTCTTTTATTTACTGTTCTACAGAATACCGTTTAAACAAATGGTTGATTGATAATAAACTCTTGTCAAATGTGCAACAGATAAATATTAATAATGAGCTGTGTGCTGTAAATCAAGGAGGTGAAATTTATTACAATGAAAATATTACCAAAGGGACTCTTTTGCCACTAAAATTACAATTCAAACAATTTTTTGAAAATAGCAATAACTTTAAAATGATGTATGACCGTCTTCTAAGTTTAAAAGCATCTGGAAATGTTCTTTCAAATTTTGTTCAAGGAAAATTGTGGGGAAAAAAAATAACTTAATTTGAAGGAAAAATAGTTTTTCCATATTTTTTGTACATTGATGATTTTGAGATAAATAACCCTTTAGGATCTCATGCTAATTACAAGTGTGTTGCTAAAAATATATTTGATAATTTCAAATTTTGTTCAAGGAAAATTGTGGGGAAAAAAAATAACTTAATTTGAAGGAAAAATAGTTTTTCCATATTTTTTGTACATTGATGATTTTGAGATAAATAACCCTTTAGGATCTCATGCTACTTACCAGTCAATTGCTGCCATTTATTACAGTTTTCCGCTTGTTGAAAAAAATTCAAAATTATCAAATATATTTTTAGCAACACTGATTAAATCTGCTGATCTTAAAGAGTTTGGAAATGACCCATGTTTGTTACAATTAATTAATGAAATTAATTTTCTTGAAGAAGAAGGACTTAGTATTTCAACGCGATATGGTGAATTTCAAGTATATTTTATTCTTGGTTTAGTATTGGGTGATAATTTGGGGCTCAATAGTATACTTGAGTTCAGTAAATCGTTTTCATCAAATTATTATTGTCGGTTTTGTAAAACACATAAAAGTATTGCCCAAAAGCTATGTGTAGAAAATATATTATGCATGCGTAACAGTATAAATTATTCAGATGATGTGGCTAAGATGGATTTCAGTGAAACTGGTATTAATAAAAATTCAATTTTAAATTTAATAAATAGTTTCCATGTTACTGAAAATGATTGTGTGGATGTAATGCACGATGTGTTTGAAGGCATTTGTCACTACGATATATGTCATATCATTAAATATTATGTTTATACTGCTCAAATATTTTCATTAGATACATTAAATAATCGTAAAACCAACTTTAACTATGGCCCTATTGAAGATGGCAATATTTCACCTGTAATATCAGTGAATCATTTAAACAAATGTCATTTGAAAATGTCTGCGAGGGAGATGATGTCATTTATTCATTTTTTCCCAATTATGGTTGGAGATTTAATTCCTGATGACGATGAAGTGTGGAAATTCTTCTTAACCCTGTTAAAGATCATTGATTTACTTCTCTCATATAATTTTACTGACGGTAAAATTATGGACCTTAAACAATTAATAAGTCAACATAACTCAATGTATATTAGACTGTTTAATGATACTTTAAAACCCAAACACCACTTTTTAATTCACTACCCAACTATTATTCAATACTCTGGACCTCCAAGGTTTTATTGGTGTTTTAAATATGAAGGAAAACATAGAGAATTAAAAATGTACGCTCGGACTACAACATCCAGGAAAAATATTACTTTAACTTTAGCAAAAAAATGCCAATATAAGTTTGCTCACATTCTTTTACAATCCAGCACTCAAGAAATTATAATAAAAGAAAAGCACAAAATACATAGTTTAAATTCAGATAATATATGCAAAATTCTTTCTCTGTCATCTGTTGATTTTTGTTGTTACAACCAAATAGAATTTATGGGAACAATTTATAAAAAAGGATATTATTTGACAAAATTTATAGAAGAGATGAGCTTGTTTGAAATTATAGAAGTAATAGTTTTTAATATACCGAATAAAAAAATTCACATTATAGCTAAGCAAATTAAGATTTTCAACTTTAATTCACACTTTGAAGCATTTGAGGTAGATTGCGACAAAACTGTTATTGAAGATTGTGTGATTTATAATGTAGACGAATTTAGTGTGCCACCAATCAACATTACACCATCTCCTTCAGGCAAATTAATGATTCGCCTTAAAGAATTTTTTTAACATTTATATACTCATTTATATATATATATATATATACATTTACATTAATATTTATGCACCTACTTACTGTAAATATTATGCTTTTGGCTTTTCAAATATAGATTACTTACATAACATACTGTGTATTGGCTATTTTATTTTATAATGGAGCAATTTGAAATTAATGAGAACTTACAAGAATCTTTACAATCAAATAATGAAAATGATCATTTTGCAAGTATTTTTAATTTTTAACTTATACATTTGCATGAATATGAATCTCATACTTTTTTCTGCATTTTTTTAGTTCCTGCAATTGTTTTGACATCCGATACTTACTATAAACAAATATAGTTAATCATTGTTTGTATATTAATAGATTTTAGATACAGAATCTTCTACTGTTGTAATGCCACTAGTACCAGGGTATATCTATCCAACTGAAGATCTTCAACCTCTACTAGACTTGCTCAAAGATTGGGGATTGGAATGCGTTTATCAAACATTGCTTGGTTAGTTAGTTCATAATCAATAGAGTCATTGTTTATTATAAATTATATTATTTTTGACATAAAGATATTTAAATTATGCATTGACAATTTCTATACTGTTGGATTCAAAATTTATGCTGTTAAGGAATCTGTTGTTGGCCAGAGAATATCAACAAAAATTGTAACTGAAATGGCAGATGAATACCTGGATATGGGTAGAACAATGTACACCGACAATTGGTATAGCAGCTATGACTTAGCCACTGAACTTTTAAAAAGATCTACTCATCTGGTTGGAACTCTTCGCTCAAACAGAAAAAACAACCCCATAGAAGTTATAGAAAAAAAAATAAAAAGGGGAGAAGTTATAGCTAAACAGTGCAATAAAGGTATAACAGTATTAAAATGGAAAGACAARCATGATGTATTAGCTATTTCTACAAAACACTCTGCAGCCATGGTTAAAACAACTAATAAATTTAGATCAGAGGTAATTAAACCAAAACTTATATTAGATTATAATAAGGGTAAATCATTGGTGGATGTATGTGATCTTAGAAATTCATATCATAATCCACTAAGGAGGACATTAAAATGGTATAAAAAAATTGCATTTGAATTACTATTAAATACTTCAGTTCTCAACGCTTTATCGTTGTATGAAGAAATAACTAAACAAAAAATAGATATAACTACATTTAGAGAAAACTTAATTGAACATTTATTAAGTAAAAATGAAGAGATTCCAACTGAAAATGTGCACAAATTAGTAGAAACTAAATCAAGAGGGTGTTGTGCTAGCTGTTATAAAAATATGGTGGAACAGGGTGGACGTTTATATGCTCAAAGAATCACTAGACAAATTAAAACTAAATGTGCTAGTTGCATAAAATTTTATTGTATTCCATGTTTTYYKRARRAMMMMAAAWWAAWWAAAAAATAATGAATTACTTTATTATAATATTATTTTRAAAATTGTTTTTTACATTAAAATGTTATATTTTTGTTTGTACAAGTGAAATTTGAATATCAATATGATAATAAATATAATATTAACTATTTGTTACATTTTTATGCTTAAATATTTGATTTTGTTTGTTAATTTTAGATTATTATGAACATTAATAATAATAAATATTATAATATACAGATTATTATGATTGAGATTGTTATAATTATTAGAATTAATCACCTTTTTTTTTATTAATTTTTAAGTTTTTATAATTTATAGAAAAAAAACTAATAAAGTGTAAGCAATGGCAACACTGGACATCGGTCTCGGTGTTGATATGAGTATCATTAGTTAGTTAGTCTTAGTTAGTCAGTCTTGCGCCCGCGTTGTGCGGCTGTGCGCGTGTGCGCCGTTATTAGTTCTGCTCCGTGCGTTTATTAAAGTTTTGTAATCAATCACGTTTGTTTAATTGTGAAATAAATTGTTGCTGTCTGTAATTTGTCTATCGTTTATTATTCGCTCTCAAAAGTTAGGAGAGAGGCCAAAAAACCATATGATTACAAATATTATGTAGTATTTTATCCTATTGTTGTATTGACTTAAATTAGTGTTATGAAGTTATAATTTAACTAAAACAATGAGTGCATATATGATACTCAAGGCAACCGTGGCAAGTTGTGTTGAGAAGCAAATGTGATACWCAAGGCGCAATTGGTAAGTTTGTGTTAATTTACATGGACGAAAATGAAAAGAAGACTGTGTATCATATTTGATACTCAAGTCGATTTTGGCAAGTTGAGTGAAATTGATAAGGCAGTCAACTTGTTAAGAATCATGTGTCTGTTTTAATATTTGTTATTGTGTATGTCTTATAATTATGAACTATACTAAATGTTTTATTTGAATTGTATTGTTCAATAAACTATTTAATAGTAACTTTTGTGTTCTTTTATTAATTGATATCTAATTTTTATTTTTATAATTTGATATGTTATGCTTAAAAAATGTTGGTTTTAGTACAAAAACTGTTGTATTTGAGTACTAATATAAAATGCTATAAATCATAAATTGGTTAAAAAAATTTCAATGATTTAATAATCAGAACGGACCGCCCGCGCGGCAGCCGCGCCACCACGACATGACACGCCCCTGCGCCGCTGCTGCATAGTCTTACATCAAACACCGGGAGCGCTGTTTGCAATGTTCTGGACGTTAACATTGGAGTTGCCTATCTATAGAATTCTTGTCTATGGTGTGATGCATCATAATCATAGAGTAATATAGAGAGACCGTTCCATCTGCATATTGAAGCAAAAGTGGATTCTATTTTACAGGTTAAATACTTCACAAAAAAAAAAATATTGTAATATATTTGGTACGATTATCATAGTAACATATACTGAGATAATAAATATTAAATGTWCTCAATGATAAAATTATGAATTCATTATATTTTTTTTTTGATTTGAATTTTGATTTGAAGTATTGAATACTGCCTACAAATTTAACGTTGTTTTATGTTTGCAATTTGTAAGTTTAGTACAGTTCTTGTAAATTTGTAAGTGTTTTTTTTTTCTATTATATTATTATAATATACTAAACATGCCAAGCTGTATAACTTGTGGAAGATCAGTTAGTAAAAGTTCAAAATCAGTGAATATAACTTTTCATAAGTACGATTTAGAAAATTAATCTTGAATTTAAAAATGTATTTGTAAAGTGATACTATGTAAATATATATTTGTTTAATTATAGGTTTCCATCTAAAGAAAGTGTTCGAGAAAAATGGAATAACTTCTTATTAGAAAATGCTGTGAGTCCTGAAAATGTGTTAAAGACTAGTGTAATTTGTTCCCTCCATTTTGAACAGTCATGTTTTGTGTTGGACAAAAGCAGAAAACTGTTAAATAAGCATAGTTATCCATCAATAATTGTAAATCGAATAAAAGGCGTAAGTAAATCGTTTGGAGTAATATACATAATTTACTCAAATTATCAAATTTTCAATAACGTGAATGTTTTATTACAATTATCATTATATTGTTATAGGCCAAAAAAATGTGTGATGAAACTTTAACAAAATATCCCATGACTTATGAAGCAAAACCAAATAGTTCTTCTAACATTTTAAAATGTGATCGAAAATTAGTTAAAGTTAGTACCAATAATATTAAACTTGTGGTACAATATTGTTATTATTTATATTTATTTCTTATTATGCAACTAAGTAGTAAAGTTGACYAAATACTAACTGATATTACCTTAGTTATAAATGAAGTAGGTAATGTTTATAATTATAATGTTAATGTTTATGTTTATAAAAATATTTTTATCTTAACACATTTTTTTTTTCATGTAAAATCAACAACTTACAAGTGTTAAGCCTAAATAAACTTATTGTTAAAAATTGAAATATATTTATTAAAATACATTATATCTATGAACAAACTACAA